CCCACTCCTGGACGTATATCCTACAAACCTACAATTCAAAAAGATACATGCACCCCAGTGCTCATAGCAGCACTCTTCACAACAGTCAAGACGTGGAAGCAACCTGTATGTCCATTAGCAGATGAATGGATCAAGAAGACGTGGTATGCATATACAGTGGAATACTACTCAACCATAAAAAGAATGAAATAATGCCATTTTCAGCAACATGGATGGACCTAGGGATTATCCTACTAAGTGGTCAGACAGAAAAAGACAGCTATCATATGATATCACTTATATGTGAAATCTGAAATATGACACAAATGATCTTATCTACGAAACAGAAACAGACTCAGAGCATAGAGAACAGACTGTGGTTGCCAAGGCGGGAAGTTCGGTATCAGTAGATGCCAACTGTTACATATAGGATGGATAAACAACAAGATCAAACTGTGGAGCACAGGCGAGTATATTCAATATCCTGTGATAAACTATAATGGAAAAGAATATCAAAAAGAATGTATATGTGTGTGTAACTGAGTCCCTTTGCTCTATATTTGAGCAAATGTACCAACACAACATTGTAAATCAACTATACTCCAATAAAAATTTGAGCAATGGTACATTACACATGCACAAAACTACCTCCAAGAGAGCTGCGAAGGTCACTTTGCTGCGCCCTCCTTACCCCAACTGGCTGCTGCTTCTGCTCTGGTATCCAGGGCACGCGTGCACAGAACACAGTGGCAGGGAGATTATTGTCACATAAGAGAAGCAGGATGATGCTATCCTGAAGGATATCTGGCAGACTGGGGCCTGAGTTCACTGGAAAACTACCATCAGGACAATGTGGAGACCACTTGTGGGGAGGAGAGCATGCAGAAGCTAAGAGACACTTCAGACAGAACACTCCATCTTCCATCCTCAAGCAAATCATGAAAGTTGGACTCATCAAAGATACCACGCTCTTCACAGGAAACCTCGCAGGAAAGTCCAACATACAAAACAGATCCACTGAGGCTGTAGACAGGAGGGATTATTCCTAGAATCCTGCTTCCGACACTCCTTTACCTTCCAGGTTGTTGTTCAGTCGCTCAGTCATGTCTGATTCTTTGCGACCCCATGAATTGCAGCATGCCAGGCCTCCCTGTCCATCACCAACTCCCGGAGTTTACTCAAACTCATGCCCATCGAGTCGGTGATGCCAGCCAGCCATCTCATCCTCTGTTGTTCCCTTCTCCTCCTGCCCCCAATCCCTCCCAGCATCAGGGTCTTTTCCAATGAGTCAACTCTTCACATCAGGTGGCCAAAGTATTGGAGTTTCAGCTTCAGCATCAGTCCTTCCGATGAATACCCAGTACTGACCTCCTTTAGGATGGACTGGTTGGATCTCCTTGCAGTCCAAGGGACTCTCAAGAGTCTTCTCCAACACCATAGTTCAAAATCATCAATTTTTTGGTGCTCAGATTTCTTCACAGTCCAACTCTCACATCCATACATGACCACTGGAAAAACCATAGCCTTGACCAGACGGACCTTTGTTGGCAAAGTAATGTCTCTGCTTTTTAATATGCTATCTAGGTAAGCCTTATAGAAATCATAATTTACCACTTTCTCACGAACTACAAAATGCTGCTCAACACAAGGTCTTTTGAGTCATAAATCATAGCGATCATGTCACAGGTAGGGTTGGGGCTCAGCTGGGGAAATGGCAAAGTTCTAACTATTAAATCATCAACTGAGAGTCACTGAGGCCTATTTCTGTGTGTTGGCAAGAGGAAGGGTCTGCTTATCCAGTATTTACACCTAAACTTCCCTCAGCTACTCCTTAGGTACAGTCAACACCTTGACTGTTTTAACTTGGGGGGTGATACACATTGTGTTGACATTGGTTGTATCCAGGAAGCACAGTATTACAGGTCCCTCTCGCCGAAGCTGATGTCATTTCTAGCACAGTCAGCCCACCAGCCACAGGCGGTGGTCCCCACGTGAGCACAGCGTAGCTCCCACTCTGCCCCTATGAGTCTCTGCCCCCTCGGTGGGCCCCTCACGGTGGCCGGGAAGACAGGCTGGCTGAGTTGTGCATCCGCTTTGCAGGGCCGAGGCTCTGCACTGCGCCCACCACCCCACTTAGCAAGGACACCCTCAAAGGGCTGGATTCAAATACAGAAATTACTAGATGTGTTTGTTCATCAATTTTCCATATTTCACTCTTGGAATAAAAACTGGTCCTGCCACTTACTACTCACAGGACATCTTCTGACGGGCCTTTGGTTGAGTGTGGATGTGGACAGACCCTGACCCTGGGAGGCTTCATGAGGATGAGGAAGAGAAGGCCCACAAAGCTTCCTGAATCCTGTCCTGCAGGTGAGCTGTGTCCCAGTCTATCACCCCAGGACCACCAGCCTCTCTTTCATCCTTTTCTCTCCAGCTGCGTCCTCTTCACAGGAGTTTTCCCTCTGAGATGACTGCATCTGAACCTCTCCATGGGGCCAACGTGGTTGCTACTGTTCAGTCCCTAAGTTGTGTCTGATTCTTGATGATCCCATGAACAGGGCCAGACTTGCCTGTCCATCACCAACTCCCGGAGCTTGCTCAAGCTCATGTCCATCGAGTCGGTGATGCCATTCGACCAACTCATCCTCTGTTGCCCGCTTCTTCTCCTGCCCTCAATCTTTCCCAGCATCAGGGTCTTTTCCAATGAACTGGTTCTTCTCATCACGGGGCCAAAGTGCTGGAGCTTCAGCTTCAGCATCAGTCCTTCCAGTGAATATTCAGGGTTGATTACCTTTAAGATTGACTGGTTTGATCTCCCTGCCATCCAAGAGACTCTCAAGAGTCTTTTCCAGTATCACAGTTCACAAGCATCAATTCTTTGGTGCTTAGCCTTCTTTATGGGGCTATGTGCTGACAAGCAATTTGGGAGGAAAGATGGGTGGGGAAGAAATGTTGGATTTGGATCCCAACTGAGTACCAGATTAAACTACGACCAGCTCAGAGCTGGAGCTGAGGTCCTCCTGCACCTACCCAGCCAATGTCTCCAGGGTGGCCTCTCAGGCATCAGTCCTCACCAGGGCACTTCCTCCAGCACACTGGGTACCAGAGGGAGGAAGAGGCAAGGAGGAAGGACTCTGGCCAGGGGAAAATCCAGAAACTGCTGTTTCCCTTTTGTGCAATGTGTCTGAGGACATTCTTTTTAGATCTTTCTAAAGAAATAATTTTTAGAGACTGATGAAGGGCTGTTTAATCTAATAATATCACTGTTTGAGGAAAGCGGAATTCCTTCCTTCCTTTCCTCTTTAGGAAGAGTCCACTCCAGCTGTATAGGAAGAGAGTCAAGAGAACCTTTTTCCATTCACTGGTTCTACCAGCATAACTTTAGCAAGAAGATTGCACCAGGAATTTCCTATGGATGTAAATCACTGTTTGAGGTGTTAAAGTGAGTAATTAGGTCATTTAGCAGAAATGCACTGACATGTAGTGAGACTGTTGAGACCCACGGGGAAGACAGATTAATGTGGCAAACTGCTTCCAACCTCAGTGCAAAGGAAGCGGAAGTAGAATCCTTGTTATCTGAGAGAAACGATGTTCCCTTCGTTCACCGTCCTTAAAATAAGACAAATCCAGGTGTAACCGCCCTTATTTACAGCAAGCTGACGACTCCGCTTGTCAAATTCAGTTCAATGTCCAAAGTAGCTCAACGTTAATCCATCCCTCCCCCCGAGGCCCGTAAGAACCAGATCACGCGTCTACATAATAAATTCTCTGTGCCAGGAAATTGCTTTAAAGGAATAATGTTTAGGTAAGTAAAGGAAAAAAGGCTTCCTACTGGGAGATATTTTCTGAACAAAATTAAATATTATAAAACCATATTATTAAATTCTGTCAAAAAGGTGTTAATCTCGTTACTCTGGCATGGAAGCTTTGGTTCTCCGTAATTATGAATCACTGCGAACTTAACCTTTTCTGTTATCTCGCAGCCAACATGTAACATAGGATTGGAGAGAGGGAGAGATGGAAAACATCAGAAAGAGTGGAAGACAGAGTGCTGTGAGTCTGCCCACAATCCAAACTGAAACTAAGCAGGTCAGACCTGCAAAGTCTCCGTCTAAAGGCATTCTTTGGAAACCATGGTAAAGCTAGCAGGCACCCGTGTGCACACACACACACACACACACACACATGCACACACACATGCTCACTCCATGCATGCTTTTCATTTCTTTTAATTTAAAATCTGTTGAAGATATGTACATGGCTCTTACAGACTAATTGTCTTTACTTGGACGACTCCTTGTGAAAACGTCTGCCCTTTCAAGGGTGCCTTCCTGCTGAGTATCCCTGACGGCTTTCCACCCGTTCTCCGTGACGACGACCATCCTCACAAGCACGTGTCTACTACAACCGTTAACAACATTGCCAGTGCTGTGTGCAGACTAATGATTAAGACATGTTACCTCTGCCCGTGACAACCACTGGGCACCCACATGCCAGAGCTGACCTGGGTGGGAGTCAAGTCACACCCTCTGACCCTTTGAACTCACAATAGCATTGAGGATTTAGGACATATCTGCAGAAAAGAAATAATAATGCAAGGTTGCTGATGCCAAGTGCTATCAGGGTTACAGGAATGAAATAATTACACACCCTCTCCTGGAGGAACCTGACCCAAGCCCACCATGGCCACAAGGAATCCTGTCTCACTGACAACTCCCAGGAGGTTTCCCTTCCGGGCTCGATAGGGTAGGCAGCCTGGTGCTGAGCAGACAAGGCAGCAGAATCCTGCCGTCCTTCCCGGTCGGTCCCGGAAGGACTTGTGTGACAAGGAGGTTGTGTAAATGCCGCTGGCCTTGTTCACTCATCTATAGAATAAATGTATGGCACTAATGCAGCTACCTGCATCCTGAGCACGCTCTGAAATGAAGTAAGACCCTGAACAAGTAAAGGCAGTTTTCAAGATCTAAGCAACACTCGTTCCCCACACACGGGCACTGAGCTTTCCCTTACTGTTTTCTCAGTTCCCACCCTTCCCACTTCTGGGATTTGCAGTCCCAATGGGGGCCCATGGCGTGGTGTATCCTCGGGTGATGCGTGTTGACTGGATGCAGGAGCAGAAGGAAGTGGTGCTGGAGGAAGCCAGGAAACCCATCAGGTGTGTGAATATCCAGAAACAGGAGCTTTCGTTTCTAACACAAATCACTGCTCACTAATCTGCTTTCAGTCCCTGTTTTCTTCTTGGGCATGCTCATGAGTTATTAACTCTCAGCCTCTCCTGCGTGTGCCCATCAGGGTTCCCTTATGCTTAATTGAATCCACAGATGCCTCGTTTTATTATTTCTGTCACTGACTCAAGCTGGATTTAGCATAAGGTGACCCAGCAGACGAGCTGCCCACTCAGTCTCCTGGGACCCCAATGCGTCAGCAGTGCTCACCAGGTCTCTCCTCATGGTCACTCCCAGGATGCGGTTTGTCCGGGTCAGCCCAAGCCCTACAGCTTTTCAGGGAAGTGTCTCCTCCAGGCTTACTCCCACAGGGACAAGGCTTTCCATATCTTCATACAGAACTCAGGTCTGGGCCCTAATGACTTAAGGTCTTGACTTGAGAAAACAGGGTTGTACTGGGGACAGATTGGAATATCACAGGAGATATAAGGATGCTGACTTGCAGTTGATCAAGAGAAGAAGATGGTGCAGGGAGTATTATGGGGGGAGGGGGGCGCTGTATTTTAAACTAAGAAAATCTGAGCCTGAGAGAAGCTGAAGAGAGGGAGGGAAGGAAGCCTTGGGGAGGAAGACAATGTGGTCCAGTGGGAACCCCAAACTCCACCCCCGAGCTGTGACAGATGTGAGTGAACCGCCCAGACCGGCATCAGGACGCAGACCCTGATCCCCCACTTTGGGGAGGGCTGCCTGCAGATGGTCCTCATGTTGACTTGTTGGGAGTCGTCTCAGCGAGGCACGCCTCCCTGCTCAAGGTCACGGTTCCTTTTGGGAGCAGCCTCCGTCCTTGGCAGAGCAACACGGCACCTTCCCTTGACCCAGCCCCCGCCTCCAGCTCTGGACACCTCACAGGGCCACCCCACTCTGGCTCCTCTGGGGGCTGCCTGAGTGCCCCCACCTCCTCTGCCCACCTGCACCATTACGTTGCCGGCACGTCCCCATGTGTGTGCGTTATGTCTTCCTCACTGGGGTGACCTCTCTGAAGGGGAACCACTCCACTACCTCCTGGGCGATGACCGGGAACTTTGGTCAATGGAGACTGTGTTTTAATCTATTCTGGGAGCACGTGGGTGGCATTCTGAATCTTATTATGAATGTCAAATGACTTACAGAACTGAGTGATGTCAGCATCAGTCACCCTGTTCCCCAGAGATGCGTGGTCCCCAGGGTCCCTTCTGGCCCTTCCCCTACGAGCCCCCACTCGCAGGCACAGACTCTCCTCTGTGGTGGTCATCCCTTCACTCTGTCTGCCTTTGTTGGGGAAAGAAAGAAAATAAAGAAAGATAGTGCTAAGTTGTGTCTGACTCTTGTGATCCCACAAACTGTAGCCCACCAGGCTCCTCCATCCATGGGATTCTCCAGGCAAGAATACTGGAGTGGGTTGCCATTTCCTTCTCCAGGGGATCTTCCCAACCCGGGAACTGAACCCAGGTCTCCCGCATTGCAGGCAGATACTGACTGAGCTAATGTTGGGGAAAGAGCGCCACAGAGACTGTGTCTGAGTTATGTGATTTCATTTGCTGTGAAACCATTCGGGTTTGTTTGCCGGTGGGTGTGTCCCCCTCAGCCTTAAGACTCATCCTTGGTGACAGCAGGCGCTGTCGCCTCGCCAGGACCCTGCCCTGCGGTCAACGCAGTGTCAGATGAGCAGAACACACCTCCCCCTGTCCCCCTGGTGGGGGTGATCCCTGTCTGTGTCACTGCAGCTCATCTGCACCCCAGGTCAGCACCCCACTGTATACAGTGACCTCATGTAGTAACGTTCCTAGGAGTAAGGCAGCAGAAGATTATCGGGAAGTCTAGGTGATTCTAGCCGCGCCTCCTCACACTGGTCTGAGCCGTGCAGGAATGGGCCAGGCTGTGCAGACACCGATTTGGCCCCTGGCATTTGCCTGCTGACTTGAGCCGGGCACGACCCTGGTCTGTTTCTCCACCCATCGGGAGGCTCAGGTCTGGGGTTGGCAACTGGCCCCAGCGACGTTTATTTGCTTGGGCACAGTCTGATACGCTGGTGAGTTGCAGAGCTGTAAATGGAAAATGGTGGCTTTCTGGAATCTAAAATTGTTTAAAGGGTATTTCCTCCAACTTTCCAGTGGAGACAAAGAACAAGACAGTGAGGCTCTTAGGGAGGAAGAACAGCTCCAGAGGGCTTCTGTTCCATGGGAAGTTAATCTAGAAAATTAGACAGAAGAGGCAAGAAAGGACAAATAAGCCAAACCGGGTCTTAACAGGAAGCGTCGTATGGCCAAGGGAAGCAAATCCAAACACTTTAGTCCAAAACAATGTTTCTATTTGAAATATCCGACAATTTAGGGAAGGAGGACCAGAATTATTTGGTTTAATTAGCTGGATCTAATCAACAATATTGGGCTTCCCAAGTGGTGTGAGTGGTGAAGAACCTGGCTGCCAGTGCAGGAGATCTAAGAGACACAGGTTCAATCCCTGGGTTGGGAAGATCTCCTGGAGCAGGGCATGGCAACCCACTCCAGTATTTTTGCCTGGAGAATCCCAAGGACAGAGGAGCCTGGTGGGCTACAGTCCATAGGGTCACACAGAGTCAGACATGACTGAAGTGACTTAGCACGCATGTGATCAACAAAATTAGAGAATGCTACAGAACCCCAAGAATTCTTAAAGGATTCATGACAACTATACACATCTACTAGTGCTTGAGGGCTACCTGATGCTAAAACTGTGTAGGAAATTCCTTCCCAGTGAACGGTCTCAGGAAAATGTTTGTTACCCACTTGAGGCCAAAGAGCAAAGACAAACAAAGGCATGTTAATTCACAGTGGGCCGCAGGGTGCCTGAAACTCAGAAGATGAAAGACAGACAACACTCTCTTCCCACCTCTGATCCCGAACTTAACACCCTCAGGAAGCGGGCTTAAGGAGACGCTGATGCTGAGGAAAGAAACCAGAGGCCTGTCATTACCTGGGTGTTTCACAGATCAAATCTCCCCCGCCAAACCCTCACGACCCCCCACTGCCAGAACCTGGAATGGCAGACTTGCGCCACATGCGTTCCCAGCACACCGTGCTCCCGGCGTGGCGTGTCAGTGGCGGGCACGGGAAGTGGGCCGGGGTGGGAGTGTCTGACTCAGTGTGTGCCCATTTCCTGGACACTTGACTGGGGGTCTCATAAACCATGCAAGCCAGCTCCAGCCACTGACGGATGCCGCAGAGATAACCAGACGATCTTATAGCCTGGCCTGTCCACAAGCATGTGTTAATGATTGACTCCATCCTTCTCATCGATATGCTCTGGCGCACCCAGGGCCTCAGGTCACACCCCACAAGAGCTGAATCTCAGGCAGACGGCTTCCCGGAGCCTGGTGGAGAGGTCCCGGGGTCGCCGAGAGGGCCCTTCAAGGTGACAGATGTGTTGCTACCAACTGCACGCGGGGCCGATGGCAGAGCAAGCCGGCCAAGCTCTGTGTGTGCCGGGAAGCTGTTTCCAGCAGTGACACTCCCATAGCGACACATCTCCTGATTGTGTGTGTCTTGGGTCCGCGTGACGTTAGCCACAGACTCCCGTGAGAATTCTTGGGGGCTGATAGCACTATGAGAGAGGAGTCCCAGGGAATCATCAAAAGCATCTCTTTTGGGCTGGCCCCAAAGAGAAGAAAGAAAAGAGTCAGAGAGAAGACTATATCAAGAAAAAGGAATTTTTTTTTTTCCAGGGGCATGGCACTTTATAAGAAGGGTTAGGGGAAATCTATTCTGGTGTTTCACAGAAAGCAGAGAAAAGCCAGCCCTTCCACCCACTCTTCTGGGCCAGGCACCCCACCTGTTCAGAGCTAACCCTTCCCATCCATCTCCCATCTGGAATATTCTGCCACCTCTTGACTCCTCCTCTCTCAGTGGATCTCTGAAGCCCAGCAAACCCAGGCCCTTCCAAGGAGGAAGGCCATGAATGACCTACATATCTATGTAGCCTGACGATGTGAATATCATTTTTAAGTTATTATTTTTAAATTTTTATCTTATATTGCAGTATAGTTGACTAGGGGGCTTCTCAGCTGGTGCTAGTGGTAAAGCACCAGCCTGCCAATGCAGGAGACGTAAGAGACTTGGGCTCTATCCCTGGGTTGAGAAGATCCCCTGGAGGAGGGCAGGGCTACCCACTCCAGTGTTCTTGCCTGGAGAACCCTGTAGACAGAGGAACCCGGCGGGCTACAGTCCATGGGGTCACACAGAGTCGGACACGGCTGAGCGACTGAGCGAGCACGTGCCCCTGCATGGCTGGTTAACAACACTGCCTTAGGTTCAGGTGGGCAGCAAAGTGATGGGCTTCTACATACACAGGTAACTAATCTTTCTCAGGTTCTTTAAGGCAGAGCTGGTGGGGTGACTGAGAGGCAGGCTTGCTTCTCTGTCCTCCCCCGACCCACCCTGACTCCCCCGCCTTCAGCCAAATACCATTTACTTAATTAATGTTTTTCATGGGAGTGTCTCCCTGTTCCCATATATTTACTTGAACCATTTGCCGCTGCAAAGGAAAATGATTGTTTTTATTTACCTAAACTTTGAATATCTCCCATTGTCTGTTTTACTATTCAGAATTCCTGCACTTTAATAATCTTATGATATGCGACTTGGAAATCTATGTAGATTCATCATTTTATCAAATAATTGTTTACTGGGATTATTTCAGTCTGTAATTGCTTCTCTCTTTTCCCCTGTGAAACATGGAGCGTCCCAAGTCCTGCGCTCAGTTCTCAGGAAGGGAAAACACCAACATCGGCTGCCCCTCGGAGATGAAAGAAACATGAGGCTCGAGGTCCTCACCGTCGCTGGAAAACGCTGCTGCCTTCGTCTCCTGGCTGATCCCTAGGATTTAAAGCTCTGCTTTGGGCCTGAGACCAACACAGTGAGCTATGGGAAGCAATCCTTCTCAAGTTTGGAGCTGGAGGTCAGACAGGTGGAAAGGTTCCTCTGAGTCTCGAACCCCGGAGCTGGGAGCACAGTCAGGGAGGGGACGGGGGGTCTGGGGAGACTGGCCGGGCCTCTTGGAGCACAAGGCTTTCCCTGCCCTCCTGGGAACACCGCCTCATCTCTAAGCGGGAAAGAAAGAAAAAAAAAATCAGCCTGGAGCCACCAAATGCAGCGGGAAGTGTGGCCTGGCCAGGAGTCTCCCCATCTTTGGTTGGGGTTTAGATCAGTCGGGTGCATCCTGGAAGGAATGTGAACCTTCTCTAGCTTCAGGCCAAACCTGAATCACTGGTTTTCCAGGGGTACGTGAGGAAGTTTCTGGAGGCCTGCAGGGCAGAGGCTGTCACTCTGGGAAGAGGGGGAACCCACGGAGGGCCCGCCACCCCATGGAGGGGCTCCTCGAGGATTTACCTGGACAGTTTGCTGGGAACCATCACATGTCACAGATGGGAGGGATGCAGAGGGTCTTGCCTCCCCATCTCGCCTGGGACCACAGAGCCAAAATTCATCTCAGCCTTCCAGCCTTTCCTGACTGAAATCTACATTCACCTCCCAGAAAGCTCAGGGCAAAGGCCTTTTATGAGTGAGCCGACGGGTGTTTCTCAACAGCCCGTCTGTGAAAGCAGCTCCTCCCGCACACAGGGCACCAGAGAAGCCGGCGAGGCTGCCACGTGCTTGCAGGCTGCTACCCGGCCCTAAACTGGATGTGAACCCGGAGCTCTGCACCCTTTCCTGGGGACAGAGCACCAATCACCCTGCATGTGCTGAGCCACGGGCAGACCTGGGAGCAGCTGCTGAAGAAGACTCGTCTGCCCGAGCGACTCGACCTCCGCAGTTGTCACCAACACGGCCGTCACTTTGCTGTAAATAGCCCCCATCCATGTGGAGCCCAGTCCTGAGTGGGTTTCCTGTAGGATGAGTCAGTATGGTGACCGCCTGGTCTGTCAGTTCAGGTGACCTCTCCCCGGGCTGGGAATCTTGCCCACACTTTCAAGCAGGCTCTATCACCCCAGCATCGCCCCTCTGGCTCCCTGCAAGGTCTCTGAGCCACCTGCACCCCTGGAGTGCAGCCTCTTATGTGGTGGGCAGACCCTGATTTCATGCTTTCCAACTCCTTCGCTCCTAAAGACCCAGGATACAGTTCAAACTCCTTCGAAGTTTCAGGATACCACTCACATCAAAACCGATTTTATTTTATCTAAATCTTTTATTTTCTTTTTGGCTGCACGGGGTCTTCACTGCCGCACAGAGGCTTTCTCTAGTTGCGGCAAGCGGGGGCTCATCTCTGGCTGTGGGGCAGCGCCTGCTCTTGCCGTGGAGCACCGGCCCTAGAGGGGTCAGTAGTGGCTGCGGACAGGATAGCTGCCTCGAGGCATGTGGGATCTTCCTGGGCCAGGGACCAAACTCACATCCCCTGCATTGACAGGCAGATTCTTAACCACTGGACCACCAGGAAAACCTAAAACTAATGTTAAAAAGCCATATAAATCCCAGGAGAAATAAAGAGGGAAGTTGTAGAGTGACATCCTGAGGGTTCAGATTCCTTGGGGAATCAAAACCCTCACAGAGCTGACCCCCTTGGGTCAGGGTTCTACTCAAAGGACAGTTAAGTTCCACATCAACACGATTTCCAAGGGCCTTCCATTCCAGCTGCTTCTTTCTAACATGTGAGACCTGAAAACACAGCGTAGCCTCAGATGCACTCGTCTTGGTGTTGGAGCTGCTCGATTCTGTGTAAGCAGAGTGGATTTGGTTCCAAATTCACCGTCTTTCTTAACAGAAGTGCGCTTACTGCTCAAGTGCCCAATGTCAGTGGCTAGTATGTATGCCTATTTCTTTTCCCTACAGGTGTTTCCTAAGTGCAAGGCAATTGCTGGAACGAAGGCAAATGCAGGGAACACAGAGATGGTCACCATCGCCACGGCACCAGTCAGCAGTCTCCATGGTGACTGGAACATACAGCATCCAGGAGATGGGTTCTTGTCTGAGGAGCTCACGGTCCTGTCTGAGAAAGGATTAATTCCCCATCACCAGGCATCCACCTCACTCACTGCCCCCAAATCCAGCCCCTACGTTGGTCAATTACACACACGCACACACACGTGCACATGCACACACACACTCACACACACGTGCACGTGCACACACACACGACGGGCCGAGGGGTAACACTGTAACAAGGACCACCGCGCAAACAGGACGTGAAAACCTCACTGATTCAGACAAAGGGTGCACCGGGCTGTGGGCGGGTCACACCTGGCATTTGCTCCCCAGGAAAGTGGTCGCGGCCGGGAATGGAAGGGGAGTTTGGGGTTAGCAGAGGCAAACTGCCCTGCACAGGACGGACAGAGAGCAAGGCCCTAGGGTGCGGCACAGGGAAGTAAGTTCACTCTCCCGGGGTAAACCGGAATGGGGAAGAATGTGGAAACGCGTGTGTGTAGCTGAGTCACTCGGCTCACTGCAGAGACGAACACGGCACTGCCAACCAACTAGACTTGAATGTAAAAGGAGGTGGCGCAGAGACTACAGCCAGACTCCTCGGCGGGCACTCCTGGGGGGGGGGCGCCCGCCCTGCCCTCTGCCTCTGCGTCTTCAGGACACTCTGGTCTCAGGGTCCTGCCGGACACCGAGACTCTCGGGGGGGTTAGTCTGGAGGTCATTTCCCGCTGGCCCTGGGTCTGGGTCCTGCCCTCCCCAGCTGCAGACCTGTCTACAGAGCCCCGCTCAGATGTCCCCTGTGCAGCAGTGGCAAGGCACCCAGGGATCTACACTGTGGCAGGTGCATACAGGAGGGACACAGAGACCGCTCCACAGCCTTGCCCTAGGAGAGAGCCCGAGAATCTGGATTTTACAAAAGGAGACGGCGGTACACTGTGTCACTGGCCACCCCCATCTGGGGTCGCCCTCTCTCCGGGACAGGTTCTCCCCCAGCACCTCCCTCGCACCCTCTCACGACAACATAGGGTGCCGTGGTGGAGAAGAGGCGCCCAGGTCAAGGTCAAGTTCTCAGGCTCCCGTTTCCTGTCCCCGCAGTCACACACCAGCTCTAGTCTCTGCAGCGCCCACTCTGAAGGGGAGGACTGTGCTTCCAGGGTGCAGGGTTTTTCCCCTACTGAACTGGAAGCTGAGTCTGCAAACAGACCATCAGGTAATCAAAGGTTAACTGGGGAAAAAGGAGAAGTAAGATTTCTCCCTGAAATAGAAGTGAGGGATATGGGTGGCATACAAAGATTCACGGGATCCATCCTTGTACTAACAGGTCCAATGAGAGAGGCGGTGGGAAAGTACCACAGTCCTGTGTAGAAAATCCCAAGATCCAGACCACAGAAATCGATGCTGGGGTCACACCTGCCAAGGGAAGCCACCCCATCACATGGGAGCAGACGGAGAGCCGGGTGAGACGGATGCGTGCACGGGGTACCAACCCGGAGACCAGCCACGGCAACGAGGCTTCACTCATACCATTTCATACGATCTAAAAAGTATTTCCTCTTTCTGTTGACTTTAAAAGCTCATAGCATGCACTGATGTTGGGGAAAAGTCACCCTTTATTCCATGTTTTGCCAAATAGCAGGGCAGGATGCTACTAGAATTAGGATGGAGTGCCCACCAGTCAGGGCTTCCGGACTCAGAGCTCTGACCCCACGGCCTCAACGGCAGGGCAGAGCTGTGTGTGACTTTGGAGTTTTCTTCTGCTTGTCAGGAAGGGAGCCCGCTGGCAGCGTTTCACGGGGGAGCCGCATTATGTCACGGGGGGAGGGCACCATCAGGAAGGGGGCACATCCATGGTGCTGCTGGCGGAGCAGACGATGCGCACAGCCCCACCCACGTCAGCAACACCACCCGCTTTGATGAGGAGACATCCAACTTCCCGCCCGCAGGGTAGCCACCTGCAGCAGAGGGGCTTCTCCGTGGCATCGTCAAACCCTGGCCCACGGGTGGGTCCGCTGATGACCACGAGCTGAACACTCAGCCCAGAGCTTGTCTCCTGGGCACCTGTAAGGTGAGCTCACATGGGCGGCTGGGGCGCTGGCCTATGGCAGCCGCTCCCGAGATGAGCCCCAGGAACAGACCGTGATCTCTCACCGCTGAGATTCCCGGAGCGGCCCCGTCCCCAGCCTCTAGAGGGGCCTGGAAATTCAGGTGTCCCCAGTTTGACTGAGTTCATCAGAGGCCATTTCCAGGGCCCGCGGAACAGAACCTAAGCTAAGCCGCTGGGCACCGCCCTCTGAAGGAGGCGCCTTTGGGGTTTCAAGACAGGAAGAGGGAGACTTCCTGAGGAACCGGGCTTCCCTCCTAAGCCCTGTGTGGCTGACCCAGACAGCTCACAGAGACCCTAACGCTCCACGGTGCAGGCAGACACCGTAGCTAGGGCAGGTCCCCAGGCTGGAGGGACACGTTCTGGGGAGAAGTGCTTTAATCCCACCGCATTTCTGGATTCTTCCTCTGCGTTTTGGGAAGCCCTTTCCTGGCAGACCATGGAAAGCACCTCGGTAGGGTCATCGACTCCTTCCTAGGTTCCAAAACTGCGAACGGACGACTCCCGTACTCCAAATCCACCCTTACTGGCCTCACTCTGAAGAAGAGGCCAAGGGAACACGCCTGGGACCAAAAGTCACCAGGTCTGATTCTCCCAGCCTCGGCTGGTTCTTCAGGGAGAATTCAGGGCGGGAGGGGGAGCTTTTCTTCCTTATCTTTGGGGAAAGACCAAGAACGGGGAAAAAACCAAGCTCTCTGCTACAGACTGCGATCTCGCATTTTCTGGAAGCAACGCTCCTGTTGTCTGTGGCTGGAAAATAGGAAGAGAAGAAACGAAAGCAGTGAAGGCCTGTCCAGCATCTGTCCATCCGTGTCCGTCCCTGGGCTGCCCCAGGACCCATCCAGGGCTGGGTTTCTGCATCCTCTGCCCACGTTTTGGAGACATTTTCCACACTCGCACCCAGATTTCAGATCTGGTTCTGTGCCACCGAGGATCCTGGACACGAGTCCAGATTTCCGCTACTTGGTCTCTGTCTTATGTCCTGAGGGAGGCGTCGTCCCAGCTGGGGATCCAGGTTCTTGAGCCACTTTCATCCAACCCCACCTGGACTCTGACAGCCCTCCTCTCATCTAGCCTCCTCTTCCGGCATCCACACTGGTCCTACAGGAACCGAGGCCTGGCCCAGACCCTCCCCATTGCTCAGAACTCTTGGTCTAAACAGTCTTATTGTCCTCAGGCTGTTTCCTTCTGCATCCACCCAGATCTGCTCTGACATTGTCATCTGTAAGACAATAGGCTCTACCGGAAGGGCTTTTCTACAGAAAGGCTTCTCAAGGACTGAGACACAACAATAAATACTCTTGAATAAATGAAAGCATGAATGAATGAACTGGAGATCTTGTCACATACACTGAAACTTTGCCCTTGTTTTTTTAAACTTATTTATTTTTAATCGAAGGATGATTGCTTTATACTATTGGCATGATCTCTGCCATACATCAACATGAATTAGCCATAGGTGTACATATGTCCTTTCCCTCTCGAACCTCCCTCCCACCCCCTCCCACCCCTCTAGGTTGTTACAGAGCGTAAGGGAGAGGGTTTCTTTCCCGTGGGATTCAGAGTGGAGATGCGGGATGCTGGGGGAAGGATGGTTCTGGTTCACAGCCGTGGTGACAAGACTTCTATCTGATGGTGATGGATATTGATTTTTTTTTCCCTCCTATTCTCGGCCTGTAATGTCCTAAATCACTTCCTTTGTGCAACTGCGCAGACACGTGGCCCGGCTTCCAGAGCCAGGGGCCCGAAGGCCGGGCTCGGCGGGGCGGGGCGGCCTCCGCGGGGCGGGGCGGAGGGGGGACCCGGCCAGGCCGAGCAGATGGTGCCTGAGACGCGGCTCCCGTTCCGGGCAGCTTTCTCCATAATGGAATCCACATTAAAGATGATATTATCTTCACTTTTAAAGGCCCTAATGGATGATATTTATGTCCGTGAAATATGTTCCCGACTGCACCGTCCGTAGCCTGGGAAGCGCGGGCCACCGTGGGGGACGCAGCGGCCGGCACTGCAGTGAATCCAACTCCTTGCCGAGCAGCCGATCAGTACGAGACGCCTTCAAACGCGACAAAAGTATAGTTTGTCAGTGTTCCCCACAGAATATGGCGAGGGGCTGAGCTTTAATGCGACTTGACAGCCTTAGGATATTTTCTGCCATCTTCTTCTTAGCAAAGTGGTCTAAAAATGCATCCATAATTTATTTATAGGCCCTGAAGGTTAACTCCTGAGTAACCAGAGTGTTTCCTCGGGCCCTGGGGATGGAGGCGCCCGCCTTTCTCTGGGCGGCCCTCCCTCCTGTGTCCTGGGGAGGCGGACCGAGGGCTCAGGGCGCCCTTCGGGAGAAAGAGAGGCAGGCCCAGGCACCCACACTTACTAGATCATATCGGGACTCCAAGCATTAAAACGGAGAGCATACATGACTTATTTAAAATTTCAGAAGCATCTGCTTCTTTTCAGTAACTTGCAAAGGAGCAAAATGATCAACTGGATGCAGAATGGACAGCACGGAACCTTAGGAAATCGCTAATATCCAAAATGTAAGTAAGACATGAGGTTCTTAGAAATTTGAACACCACTGTGTGACTCTACAGTTGAATTCCTGGGCACCCGAGCCTGAGTGAAGTTCAACTCATTCATTTAGCTCCATGTAGTATTTTCCCCAATAAGATCAAGTCATCTTCACAGACCCAGGAAGTATTTCTATTTCAAATATCAAAAAGGTGGTATTTTGCTATTATTTTAGCTTAGGTCCAAAAAAAGAACACAAGAAGCCATTCCTCTCTGATTCTGTCAACTAATAATAACTGAACCAAATCACTGATAAATAACAATCAAAAATGAGAAACGTTATTAATAAGTAACCAAATCTTCCAAGGTGATTGAAAGTTGGTGCCAATCTACCCCTCCCTAGAACCCGAAGACTCTGCCCTGCTCGGCGGGCAGACCAGGGCCCCAGGCACCTGGCTGTGGTGCCTGCTTGCTATTTCAATGGTCAGGCACCAAAAACTGCACATTTGCTCAAACTTCAGACCTGTTGCTTTAAATATCATTTGCGCCCCTATAGTGGTGGACCGTATGTAGATACCCCTGAACAGTCCTTCTCGGGTCCAAGCATTTCCTCCCAAGTCCACAGACGCAGCGCACAGAAGTAATGAGTCTAAAATCTACGTCATATCCTCCCTTTATGCATAGATGCCAAACATTTTATTGACGATCTATTGAGAAAACATCCAATACCCCAGGAAAAGGCCATAAGAAGTGGCGTGGAAGAAGCAGCATTTAGTGAAACAACGCAGGACGTGGGCTTCACTGCTTTTCCAGTGTGTTGTTGAATTTCAGTGTGAATCTGCACCACGCCACAACCTCTCCTCCACCTAGCCTGGATTTACACATCAGCTCTGAGTGTATTTAAGTGGTGATAAAGACCTCTGGAATGATTCAGTGCTTGTTAGCCATTCTGCAGTGATCAATGTCATCCTTGATCAAACGTGGCTCGTTCTGTACTTTTCAGCCCCATAAGCAATAGCAGTAACTGGTCTGAGGACTAACCCTGACCAGCCAAGACTTCCGAAGATGCTGGTGACGTGGGAGGACAAGCCCACCCAGGGCTGGGGGCCTGCGTCACCTGCCCTCTTCCACCCTCAAAGCAAGCCAAGGTTGGTGCTGCCAAGACCCTCACCTTACTGATGAGGAAGTTTTGTGACTTTTGTGCCTTGTCCCCACAGATTGTAAGGGAGAGAAGGATTCAGGAAGTTTGCTTTTAGAAGCTGTTCTCTTCGGACTGCATGTGGCCTCTGAATCCCATTTTAGGACTGGCTGAAACTAACGGCCAAGGGAGAAAATTCACATGCTTAAAAATCTGCAGAACATGGGGATTGGTGGGTGCTCATTATAAAGAAAAGAGATGTCGTGGTAAACACATAACTTTTATTTGTAAGACTGCACACGTGAGACAGTGGAGTTACAAGTTGTAATAAAACATGACTGATGATGAGTATATATTATATCACAAGCTGGAATCAAGATTGTCAGGAGAAATATCAACAACCTCAAATATGCAGATACCACTCTAATGGCAGAAAGTGAAGGAGAACTAAAGAGCCTCTTGATGAGAGTGAAAGAGGAGGCTGAAAAAGTTAGATTGAAACTCAATATTTTAAAAAAGGACTAAGATCATGGTATCTGGTCCCATCACTTCCTGGTACATAGAAGGGGAACAAGTGGAAGCAGTGACAATTTTATTTTCTTGGGCTCCAAAATCACTGGGGACAGTGACTGCAGCCACAAAATTAAAAGATGCTTTCTCCTTGGAAAGAAAGCTATGACAAACCTAATAGCATATTAAAAAGCAGAAACATCACTTTGCTGACAAAGGTCTGTATAGTCAAAGCTATGGTTTTTCCAGTGGTCATGTACGGACATTAGAATTGGACCATAAAGAAGACTGAGCGCCAAAGAATTGATGCTTTAAAATTGTGGTGCTAGAGAAGACTCTGGAGAGTCCCTTGGACTGCAAGGAGATCGAACCAGTCAATCCTAAAGGAAATCGACCCTGAATATTCACTGGAAGGACAGATGCTAAAGCTGAAGCTCCAATACTTTGGCCACCTGATTCGAAAAGCTGAGTCATCGGAAAAGACCCTGACGCTGGGAAATATTGAGGGCAGGAGGAGAAGGGGACGGCAGACGGCGAGATGGTTGGATGGCATCACCGACTCCATGGACATGAGTTTGAGCAAACTTCAAGAGATGGTGGAGAACAGGGATGCCTGGCATGCTGCAGTCCATGGGGTCACAAAGAGTTGGATATGACTTGGCAACTGAAAAACCACATATATATACTCTTGTTCATGCTCAAGTGCTTAACAGCCTCAAACCCTGAACACATTGGAGTCCACAGCGGCTCTTTTGTTTTGTTTTTCTGGTTGTGCCACATGGCTTGCAGGATCTTAGTTCCTGGATCAGGAGTCAAACCTGGACCCCTAACCACTGGACTGCTAGAGCAGTCCCTGCAGCAGTTGTTTAGACTCTGGTAACCTGCTGAATCCATGAGACTTATTCCTCCGCTCAGAACCCCTCTGCAGCCTCTTCCTCTCCTCAGGAGGAACGGAGCTCCGGTGCTGAGCAGCGAGGACCCCCTCACCAGTCCCACTCCTGCACGTCCCAGGGTCTGACCCTCTGAGGTCCCCGAGCACACACACTCCCCCTTCGTATTTCAGGTCTCTCCTACTTCTCTTTCTCCCCGGATACAAGGCGAGTCTCTTGTCTCTGTTCTCAGGGAGGAATTCCTCTGTTAGAATTCTCCTCTTTTTCTCTCCCAACCAGTAAAACTCAGCTGATTCTTCACCCCCCAAATACTATCACCTCCAACATTGCTCAGCAGTTTACAGTAAGCCCCATGGAAAAATAAGAAAATCAGGAAACACTTCCATAATTAGAGGAGTTCAGAATTGGTTAAATTGCTAAGAAAAACACACAAAGGGCTTTTCCTCATTGGCCACAGTTCCCAAAGCTGCAGTTGTGTTTGGGGGTCTCCCCTGGGGTTCTCTCAAGTGCCTCCTGCCAAGGCATGAATGGACTGGGCTGTGTAGCTTGGTTATCATGGAGAAAGGCCATAAGGCTATAGGTCCACAAGCAGAAGACCCGGGTTTGAACTTCAGCTCCACCACCCGCTGCATAAATAGGCATGAGCCCAGACTCGGATGCAGTGTGGCCCACACACCCTCAGTCCAAGCCCAACCCGTCTCCAAACACCCTCGACATCAAACATTTTTCTTTACTCATTTGACGATGAAACTTGTCCTGAAGTGACAGGAGGCTATTTTTAGTCCTCATTTATCCCACTTAATATGAATATTCATGTTTCACTGCAGAAGTCATCATGTGCTTGATTCCAGGGGACTTCTCCACTTTTCCTGGGTTGGTTGCATAATACGCAGTATGAGGACTTTACTACCTTCTCACAGTCTGTACTCTCAGAGCTCTGCACCGCCCCTGGCCCCAGGGTTTCAGAGAGGAGAGCGAGCCCCACTGATAGTTTTTAGCACCCCCTGAATGGCTCGGGGCTCCTTCATACGAGGCTCCTGTTTGCTCCTGAGTCCCGTGGAGGTCTCGTCACCCCAAGCTCAGCACCCGAGTCCCTGCCTCTGTAAGATTTCAGACAGAAAGAGATGTCAGCCAAGGATTAAAACACTAAGCACTAAGAGCTTAGTAATTAATTAAGAGCCGACTCATTGGAAAGGACCCTGCTGAGGGCAAGAGGAGACGAGGGCTGCCGAGGCGGGAGATGGTCAGATAGCATCACCGACTCAGTGGACCGGAGTTGAGACAGTGACGGACAGGGAAGCCTGGCCTGCTGCAGTCCATGGGGTCGCAGAGTCGGACGCGGCTCAGCGACTAAACAACAGCAACAAAGAGCTTAACGCCTCCGACATTTTGTTTCCCACTGTTCTGCTCATGAGGTCAAAGTCTCCTTGGCCAGATGGTCAGTGATGCTCTGATGTCGCAAACACCCAAAAACACAGGGCAAGTCCAGTGCAAGTCAGTCCCAAGGAGATATTGGAAATTTAACCCAAAAAGAAGGATTTCAAGTCAGCCACAGGAATGTGGGAGAACCATCCACATCATGAGCAAATCCACACACCTCACTAATGAAGACATGGCAGAGCTTGACTGATTAACAGCTAGCAAGAAGGGACTATAAAAGACGAGAAAATACGCATGTAAAAGAGAATGACTTAAACCCCAAATTTTAAGAGAATCTCTTGGGAAAACTGAAGCTGCTTTTCTTTTTTTTTCTCACAAAATATGATGCTCTTTTGATGGGGTTATGAAGTCCAGCTGTGAAGTATGAGATATAACATCATCTTACCATATAAGTTTGTTGAGAAGATTATGACATAATCAACCCTTGATTCATTTATTATTTTAAAACAACCTATAATTGAAATTATAACACGTTTTATCAACTAGAATACACATTTCACATTATTATTAATAGTTTCATATTTTTTCTAGACAGATTGCTAATCTACTCTATTTACTTGACTGTTTTCCATACAGTTCTGTTTTCTGTCTTCAGGGAACATGTCCTAAGAGGCCCATTTCCAGGTTGCCTGACCGTGACCCTAAGGACGTCTGCCAGTGGCCTGCAGCATGGTCCACGTCTCAGGACTCCCGTCCCCCTAGAGCGGCATCCACACACGGCTAACCCCCGTGCGGTAAGAACGCCCTGGGTGGAAGGGCACCAGTGGCCTCTGCTCGGCCGGTTGACTTGGTGGAGTCGGTGGAGGATCTGACAGCTGTTGTCACCGGGGCTGCGGAGCGCTCACCTGCAGTCACCACACACCTGCTAGGCGGGATCCGCGCCCTCCTCCGTGGCGGGCTGGCCCCCGCTGCTCCCTCGACCACCCCGGCCCCGGCCCTGACCATCATGCTCAGAGCCGGTCAGTCCTCTGGGCACAGTCTGCTCCAGCGTGCCCTCCAGCACCTCTGGGGCCAGGTCTTCTCTCTGGATTCATCCCTGAGAAGCCCGACCCTTCGTCCAACGACAGCCTTCAAACACCCGAAGGCACCCTCCCTATCCTCAATATGCCGTCCCAGTGCCTATCTTTTCAACTGTTTCTCTCACACCATTTCCAGAACCTTCTGGTTATAACACTGAGGCACCATCTAACCTATCAATTGCTCCTCCTGAGATGTGGTCACCAGAACTGCTACCGTGCTTTCGACATGATCTGAACCTCCTTGTCTCACAAAATGAGTAAGAAGGAACGTTCCTATAAACAACTGGGGGAAGGACTCCCCTGGTGGTCCAGTGGCCAAGAATCTGCCTGCCAATGCAGGGGACTTGGGTTCCATCCCTGATCAGGGAACTAAATTCACACATGCCGCAGGGCAACTAAGCCTGCACACCACAGGAAGATTCCGTGTGCCGTAACTCAGACCCGACACAGCCAGATAAACAAACCATTTTTTCAGATATTTGGGGGAATTTAAGTCTCACTGATGGCTCACATTGAGGTGACAGTCTGTTAAAATAAAATTTCTTGCAAAATAATTTTTCAGTAGATTTTTTTTTCTCATCTTTTTAATCGTGATTTGCACAGACTTAAACTTTTTTGGAGGTAACTTCAGAATACTGAATGGCCTGCTGTTCCATCTCTGCTCGCTCCTTTTAATCACTCTTACAGGCTGCTGAGACATTTGGACAGTTCCCCTCTATTTCTAATGGGAAATTTGAGACACAAAGAAAAGTATAAACAAGAAATTTAAATGATCCACAAGATCCGTTAGTAATAACTCCCTCGATACAGGATCTTTTTCTGAATTTCTCTCTTTTCTTTTTCTCTCTGAGGCACAAGCATACAAAACATGTAAGAAAAGTTACGTAATATATTGGTTGCTTGGTAATATAGTGTATTTTCCCACATCATTAAATATTCTTACTTAAGTGAACTTAAACATTTTTAGAGATATATCACAATTTATGTAACTAAATCCTTATTGTTGGACATTGAGATTTCTCTCAATTAATTAATATTAATTAGTCTGCAATGATTAATCTGCAATGAGCACCCTGTTCATCAATCATTCTGTGCTCCTCTGATTATTTTCTTACTTTAAATTGCTAAAAGTGGAATTAGTGCATGAAGACAAGGCAACCTTAAAAGCTCTTGCAACCTTGTTGAGACTGGATTAAATATGCAGCATGTTAATTCTGTAGCATTTACATATTTGATCAACATCCTCCAATTCAAGCCAAGTGTTTCAATGACACGATCTTGTGGCAAATGAGTCCATCTGCTTTTAGAGTTTTATCTGCATATTTTCTCTTTTATCCTGTAATTTCAGTATCTATATAACACAAGGGCTACATATTAGGCTGTGTGTAATATTCTACCTGGGCTTCCCAAGTAGCTCAGTGGTAAAGAATCTGCCTGCCATCACAGGAGATTTGGATTCAGTCCTTGGGTCAGGAAGATCCTGTGGAGAAGGAAATGGCAATCCACTCCAGTTCTCTTGCCTGGACAATCCCATGGACAGAGGAGCCTGGTGGGTTACAGTCCATGGAGTCGCAAAGAGTCGGACATGACGTAGCAACTCAACAACAACAACAACAATCTTCTGCACACCTCCTCTGATCAGACACCCCACCCCTTTATAAATGAACAGCCGAGCTCCACAGAGCTAACTGGCTCAAGGTCACAGCTGGTGATGGGGGGGCAACCTTCCGACCAAGGCTTGTCATCCTCTCGGCTCTCGGCTTATCTCAAGTCCTCACACACACACCCTGAAGCCTGGAGAGGTGAGCTCTTTGTGACGCGTCCCCCGGAACTTCTGAGTCCCTGGTCATGTGTATCTCACGCTCCTTCTGGTGGTCTTGTCTTGCCCTGTTCCTGCCTCTGTGGACCGACAGCTGTCAGGGGCATGGGATGCACTCTGACCCACCCCAGGCAAGTGCCCCAGGGGTGCCCACTCCCCATGGCCCCGCGTGGCCCACAGGAAGTAGGAAGGCCTCCTCCAAGCTCCCTCCTCAGAGCACAGAGGGTCCTGGAAGCTCTCTCATCTCTGCTATAAGCGCTGGGCCACCGGACAATGGTGAGTCCGGGGGTGGGCACAGCGGCACATGCCACCTCGGGCCCTGGCGGGTCAGCTCTCGGGGCCACTCCTTCTCCGGACAAGTCGGCAGAGAGGGTCTGTCTGCTCACAGCTTCTGCACGAGCGGCCACTGACGCGCTGCCTGGTGTGATTCCCCCGTACCCGCCTCGAGCCCCCGAGGCCTCTGCCTCTCCCTCAGGGTAAGTTGGGGAACGGCCACCGCCACGACCCCTGACCCAGGGTGCCAGCCGACACCGAAGGAGCTAGGGAAGCAGAAGAGTTGTGTCCACACATTTCCAGGATGCTTTCCTGTTCTTCCTGTGACGTGACACCTAAGGAGAGAGGATTCGCAAACATCTGGGACAAAGCATCCTCGCGTAGCCATCCCTGGCGCGCGCTCATCGAGCCCGCCCTTCAGGAAGGGGGGCGTCCCTTCAGGGACATCGTGAGGGCACCCCGAGCCAGGTGGGGTCGGGGGCTCCCGGGGACTCAGTTCTGCCAAGAAAGGCCCGCGGAGCAGGGATGAAGCGTCTCCAGCAGAACACGCCGGACGGCTCTGGAATCTTGTCGGGATTGATGATGTCAGTGGAATTACAGCTCAGGACTTTGGTCTATTCAGACCCCGCTTCCAGAATAGTCAGCTGGCGTCATTGTCTCACTGCAAGCATTTCCTGCCTTTCCTCCTATGTCTCCTGCCTTTCTGTCTCACGGAACCTGTCCCCCAGCTCTCTCCTCCTCTCAGATCTGACATCTGAAGGGTGCAGGGGGCCTGGGAGTCACGGCCAAAGCTGATGAATCCAGGTCTTCTCCACCTGCCCCTCTGGGGACCAGTCACTGCATCGTGAACACAGATTTCACAGGCAACATGACACTCATGATATTAGGATCAGTGACGCCTTCCTGAGAGCTGAATGCTAAAGCATTCACATGCTGGGGATCTGAGCTGCAAAGCTTGGGATAAAACTGAGACACTTCCATTTCTGGGAGGCTTTCCATTAATCACTATTAACAGGTAAAGACTGTCACAACAGACGAGCGATGTGTACCACTGAGAGCAGCTCTTCAGCGGGAGCTTTGACATTTTAATCTCCGTCATTTCAGCTGCTGGAGAAACGAGGCCAAGATAACCCAGAAATCGTAGGCACATGCACGGCATGGGTAACGGCCCACCAAGGTGTGTAACCTGTGCACCGGCATGTGTGGGATTAACCATCGTGGTTCCGAAAGGACTCCCGGGTCAGGACTGGAGGAGGCGCTGCAAATGCAGAGGGGGGCTGGGGTACCAACACTGCCCCACCCCGGGCGGGTGCACGGCCCCTGAAGACCTGCATTTATACTTTCCAGAGAGGCACAAAACCTTTAAACTGTGAGTGATTAGCACACGACGTTTGAAAAGTAGGAGCCCCTGGAGAGCTCGGAGAGGCTGAGACGGACGGGTGCAGAGAGCGAGTAGAAAGTTGCTGATTCGTGAAAGCATGACTGGCTCTCTCCATATGAGCTGGGTCTGTCTGCTGGGCCTGGATCCCATGGTTTACGCGTCCTTTGAAATGTGGGACCGTCCTGTTAAAAGAAACGCCTAGATTGATCGTTTTCCCCTTTTTACTGTTGGTATTGCGTTTGGCCTAAAAATGACAGGTTTAAAGACTGTTATTAGCCTAAGTTGCAAACAGATTATATGTTGATATAATAAATGTTTTACCTCTAATTTTTGTTTTAGTATCTTCTTCTAAATGGGTATCAAACCACGTTGAACCTATTTATTAAGGCTTTCCTCTGAAAGGCGCCACGGTTGCAAAAGCCAACCTCTCTCCTTATCAGAGGCCGAGGAGACGCCCCCCTTGGCTGGAGACAGAAGGGGAGCTGGGTTTGGAGCTGGGCAGCCCTACCTAGGACTCCCCTTGCCTCCAAACACATCCTGCCTCTCTCACCTTACTCATTTTTCTCCTGCAGCTCCTCCTGCCTGTATCTGCCCTTCTCAGAGATCCCTGGGGCTGTGGGCCAGACTGTGTCCCCCCACCTTAAATTCACATGTTGAGGCCCTAACCCCCGGTGTGGGAGAATGTGGCTATATTTGGAGACAGAACTTTCACAGAGTTGATGAAGGTTAAACGAGATCATTAATCAGTAAGTGAAAATGAAAGTCGCTCAGTCGTGTCCAACTCTTTGCAACCCCATGGACTATATAGTCCATGGAGTTTTCCAGGCCAGAATACTGGAGTGAGTAGCCTATCCCTCTCCAGTGGATCTTCCAACCCAGGAATTGAACCAGGATCTCCTGCATTGCAGGCGGATTCTTTACCAGCTGGGTTGCCAGGGAAGCCCACCCTTAATTGGGTGGGTCCCAATCCAATAGAACACATGTCCTTATAAAAAGGTGGGCTTCCCAGGTGGTGTTAGCGGTAAAGAACCCGCCTGCCAATTCAGGAGATGCAAGGGACTCGGGTTTGATCCCTGGGTTGGGAAGATCCCCTGAAGGAGGAAATAGCAACCCACTTCAGTATTCTTGACTGGAGAATCCCATGAACAGAGGAGACTGGTGGGCTCTAGACAATGGGGTCGCAAAGAGTCGGACAGGAGTGAGCGACTGAGCACAATAATGAAGAGAAGATGAAGACATGGACACACTCAGAGGGATAGCCACAGGAGGATGGGGGAGATGGCTGAGGATCGAGGCCTCGGGAGAAGCCAGCCCTGCCCCCCCCGGAACCTCAGCTCCCGTCCCAGGACTGGGAGATGGTCAACACCTTAGTGAAGCCCCCAAGTCTGGTGCGGGGTGATGGCAGCTCTAGAAGATGGACCCACCAGCTCAAGGACACTGTCTTTGTGGGGCCAGCCCAGGACAGGCATTCCCGCACAGTGCCATCCCAAGAGCCCCCTTCCCGGTGCAGTGACCTGTGTCGGGTCTGATGACCAGACCCCCTGGAAGATAGAGACTCTTGTTGGCTCTGGAGCCACAAAGCCTGGTGCCTCGCATGTGACAGATGCTCCCTGGGGTGGCGTGGAGTTGGGCGGAGAGGCCCAATTTCACCTTCCACCCGACGGCCAGCACTGCTCCCTGCCTGGACCTGAGTGGTGGACACCACCCAGCTGCCACGGGCTAACCTTGCAACAGGCCCTTGGCTCAGGCCTCAGCTCTATTTGTAGCTGGCAAGCTGAGCGCTGTGAACTGAAAGGAGAAACCACAGGATCTGAGTTCCCTCTGCGTCTGTGTGGCTGGGGGCCTGGCTGCTGGCACATGGCCCTCTACTATAAGTCGGCTTGAATGCTGGGGGTTTGGGCTGAGAGGCCAGGCCAGACTCCCTCCAGCTCACCAACCTGGTGGAGGATGCTGGGCCCCGGCAAGCAGAGCATCAGACACCGAGACAGCCACATCACACAGGCTCCATGTAGACAGGGGATTGCAGAGTATGGAGCAGAGTTCCCCGTGCTGTGCAGTCGGCCCTTGTTGATCATCTATTTTATATACAGCAGTGTGCGTGTGTGTGTGTGTTAATCCCAAACTCTTAATTTGTCTCCTCCTCCAACATCAAGAAGGTCAAACCAGTCAATATTAAAGGAAAGCTACCCTGATGCTGAAGCCCCAATACTTTGACCACCCGATGCGAAGAGCTGACTAATTGGAAAAGACCCTGATGCTGGGAAAGATTGAAGACAGGAAGAGATGGGGGCGACAGAGGAGGAGATGGTCGGATGGCATCACTGATGGAATGGACATGAACTTGGGCAAACTGCAGGAGATGGTGAGGGACAGGGAAGCCTGGCGTGCTGCAGTCCATGGTGTCAAGAAGAGTTGGACACAACTTGGCAACTAAACAACAACAGCAAACCCTAAGCTTGTTTTGTGAAGTCTGAGAGTCTCTTTCAGTTTTGTAAATAATACATGTATCCTTTGCTGCATACCTGGGGGACTTCCCTGGTGTCTCAGTGGATAAAGAATCTGTCTGCAACGTAGAAGACGAAGGAGATACGAGTTCGATCACCGGGTCATAAAGGTCCTCTGGAGAGGGCACATGGCAACTCCCGCCAGTATTCTTGCCTGAAAAATCCCCTGGACAGAGGAGCCTGGTGAGTTACAGTCCACGGGGTTGCAAAGAATCAGACACCACTGAGCACGCACATGGGCCGCTATACACCTGAAACTAACACTACATTGTAAATCAGCTCTACTCCAAGATGAAACAGAAATTAAATAAATAAATTAACTCAGAGGTGAAGCATTTGACCAGTTTTAACCATAGCGAAAGGACAGTTCAACCTGTCATAACATGACTTAATCTTAATTTAGGGTCCATTAGAAATGGAATCAGCACGGCAGCGCCTCAGTCAATGACTGTCCATTGATTAACCACAGAGTCTTAGGGAGGAATCAGGTCCCCCCACCACCTCCCGATTGGGGGGGGGTGTTGAACAAAATGTAATTTGTTGATTTATCACCGTTCTGTGAGATCCTCACATTTCTTTGCCTTCTGTGTAGTAAGTGGTCCCCTTTAAGATGAAATCTACAAATAAGAAAAAGAACTGTTCCCCTGAAAACACACAGGCAGCCACACCAATTTTTCTGATTATTGATGCATTGGCCTTTAACCGTAACAGTGACGTATGCGGTCAGTCGCGTCTTGTCTCCTGTCCACCGAGAGCCAGGGCATCAGCGCTGCTGGCCAGGAGCCTGGGGTGACGAGCTGTCACCATCAGGATGCCGGTTCTGAGGTGCAGGGCGACCACGTTTCATCATCTCGTATTATCTCTTCTCTGGCACACACACACACACGCGTTTCCATTGGATGAGAAGCAGAGAAGTAGGCTAAGCTCCTCACGGGGAAAGCTCACTCTCAGAGTCTAAAGCAAGGTTATTATCAGTGAAAAATCTGCTTTCAGGCGTCTTCCTGGTGTGGGGAACAAGAAACTCCCCGACCCACTCCCTGACCTCTGGCCTTTGCTCCCTGATAGGAACCTCAGTGACGGTGCTTCCACTTCCACCCGTGGGGTCATTTTCTGTCCACTGAGCAGGGCCCTGCAATCATCAGAGCCTTTCCTGGGGAGGCTGTCCATGGAGCCCAGCCGCAGTGCCCAGGAGGGGGTGAACCAGATGGACGGCACCAGGGCCCCTGGGCATCTTGGGACGCAGGGGGTTCCCAAGTCTTCAGAAGGTTTACAGGCAGACCCCCCGGCCGGCGGGGGCACTAGGGTAGCTTCCAGCTGATGACTTCCACTGGCAAATGTGCAGGTTTGCATGGAAAGTCATTAATTATCTCCCATTTAATCATCTATTTTAAGAGTTTCTGCGGGTTGGATAATTAAAGATATAGGATTTTATAGGGATTACTGCAGGACATAAAATCCCCAGCCGTGGGCCCAGGCCGACAGCACTTGTCTCAAGGCTTTGGGAGTACGTCTCTGCTTGTGATCAACCTCCTGGGTCTTCCTTGAGGCTGGCCTCAGACCTTCCTGGTCTCTTACTGCCTTTGACCCACCTCTGGGCTCCAAGACAGTCTCAGGAAAAGCCCCGCGTGTCTCTGTTCTCAGCTGAGGGTTAGACTGCAAGCACAGGCAACTCTTCCATCGCCAAGACCAGGTGAAGACAGCTGAGCAGCAAGAACGCCTGGAGGCTTTCACCCTATTCTCCTCCGAGGGTTAGAGGCAGGCAGGCCTTGATGGGTGGTGACAGTCAAAGGTGATCTGCAGCGGCCCCAGCCTCCCGCTCACGGCCCCCATAGGATGGCTCCCCGTGAGTGGGGGCTGCAGTTAGTGACCTGCATGCCTGCATGCATGCATGCTCAGTCATCTGTGACTCTTTGTGACCCTGTGGACTGGAGCCCGCCAGGCTCCTCTGTCCATGGGATTTCCCAGGCAAGAATCCTGGAGTGGGTTGCCATTTCCTCCTCCAGGGGATCTTCCTGAACCAGGGATGGAACTCAGGGTCTCCTGCATTGCAGGCAGATTGTTTACCATCTGAGCCCCAAGGGCAGCCCCGCACCTAGTGACTAGCTTTTACTAAAAGAAATAAGTCAAAATTAGCAGAATGTCACTTCTGTGATTAGGTTACGAAAGACTGTGACTTCCATCCTGGTGACACCTCTCTGTCAGCTGGGCTGCTTCAGTGGAGCAGGTGCCGTCCTGGAGAAGGCACCCAGGCAAAGAGCTGAGGGCCGCCTCCAGCCGGCAGCCTGGAGGAGCTGAGCCCCGCCGACAGCCAGGAGAGCGTGTTCGGACTTGACGGTCCCCGGGCGAGCCTTCAGATGAGATGTGGCCGCAGGCAGCTCCTTGTCTGCAGCCTCGCGAGACCCTGGGTCAGAACACCCGCTAAGCCGGCACAGACCCCTGACTCACAGAGACTGAGATGGCAGTGCCGTTGCTCTGCAACGACCTGTTTCAGAGCAACAGATGATCGGAGCTCCAGGCGGCGCTAGTGGTGAAGAACCTGCCTGCCAATGCAGGAGACATAAGACACTGGTTTGATCCCTGGGTCAGAAAGATCTGGAGGAGCACATGGCAACCCACTCCAATACTCTTGCCTGGACAGTCCCCTGGACAGAGGAGCCTGGCAGGCTACAGTCCATAGGGTTGCAAGGCAGATGCACCTGAAGTGACTTAGCACCCTCACAACGGATGATGACCACACTCACACTGACAGAGTCAGTGACTGTGATGAACGCTTACACTTTTCAAGTCATTTTTCAGAGGGTGAGACTTCTCAGCCTAAGAGTGATACGTCCAGTAATAAATACTGGACCTCAGGTTCCATTTGTTGACAAACAGGGGAGTGTCTCTGCTGCCCCCAAGACACCTCTCTTATCTTCGTATCTGTTAAGAGCTTCCCCGATCGTGTCTTTTACAGGTCAACACCATTAACACCTGGGGCTGGGGAGGGCCCAGGGGTGCCCAGCTCAATGGCCTTGAATGTGGCTGGATGCATGGAGTCTGGAAGCCTGCCATTCCAGGGCTAAACAGTGACAGCTGAGGGGCCTGAGCTGGTGTTGGGGGTGAGGGGACAGGGCTGTGTTGCTAGGAGAGAGAAGGACTGAGGATAAGGATGACCTAGGTACTCAAAGGTCCCCTCGGTGACCTGAGCTCCTACCAAAAAAACCCAGTGCTAATAACACAGTTGATGGGTTCCTCAATTTCTTAGAATCCTCCATTTGGCCTGGTACTTGCAAATAGGTTACTTTTTACCTTATTCCTGGGCTTCCCCTGCGGCTCAGCTGGAGACCTGGGTTCAATCCCTGAGTTGGGAAGATCCCCTGGAGAAGGGGAAGGCTGCCCACTCCAGTATTCTGGCCTGGAGAATTCCAGGGACTGTATTGTCCATGGGGTCGCAAAGAGTTGACCAGGACTGAGCTACTTTCACTTTCATTTTCTATCTGACTCCTATCGCTAGAGTCAAAGAAAGCACAAGAGGCTCAGCTCAAACCTCTTCTTGCCACCAGGGATTCTGACAAAGGCTTACACCATAGTGGAGAATATTAGAAAAATATTGGTCAGCAAGATAGCTGATACAGGTAAGAAGGCAGATGCCCCAGGAGGGAGCAGGGCAGAGAGAGGGAGGTGGGTGACCTGGAAGAAAGTCAGCCCACCTCCTGACCCCTGGGGCTGGGTCTGCAGAGTCTCTGAGCGGTGACTCTTCCCTTCAGCCCAGGGTCGCACTGCCAGGCTCTTCTGGTCCTGCTGGGAAGAGGAACTGGGGCAGAGGCTGGCGACAGCTTGAACTGACCATTCAGTCCATCGTGTAGAAATCAGGAAACTGGGCTACAGAAGAACTGTCTTTGAGAAGTCAGCTCCAAAAAGTACAAAAGTAATGAAAACAACAAGGCTCTTGCTTACTCATTTTCAGGGGCTCCCATATTTTTGGAGCTCCAATGATATAAACGCAGTTGTCTAAACAGCCCAGTCCTAAGGGCCCGCTGACAGCAGAAATGTGTCTACAGAACCAAAGTCATACTCCCCTCCCAAAGGAAAAGCACACAACTTTACAACATGCTAAGGTTTTCAAATATAGTTTGTTACTTTTTCCTGTATTTTTTGCCTCACCTTTCCAAAAAGTCATGATCAATATCTTCTCTTTCTTGAACTCTCCTCCAGTGACCTGGGAAAGAATTGGGAGGCGAGAGTTATAAGACCCGGAGGCTCCCCACGCATGTCGCTGCTCATCGCTCTTTCTTCTCGTCTGGGTTTCCGTTTGAAAGGACTGTCAAGCCGAGGTCAGCGGCTTCTGCGCGACCCCACGGAGAGTCCTGGCGCCCTCCTGTCCTCTGAGAGCCCGGAAGTGTGCGGAAACTGGCGCGGGAGCCCCTCCAGGGGCCCTCATGGAAGCCCCGTCTACACACTCACGTGGCTGAGCCCGTTCTCTCGTGGAGCTTGGCTCACACAGGTGTGCGTCGTAAGGACTCAAGTTCAAGCTTTTCTACACTGAGCCCGGGGCCGACTTGAGAAGCAAGGTGCTCTGCGCGAGACTAGCCCTGGAGAGAAACCCGGGAAGAACCAGGAGACAAGAGCTAACTCAAGGACTGGACCGAGGTGGAATAAGAAATGCCAGGGCAGACAGGGTTACAGGGTCAGGAGACCTGGCCAGATCAGGGTCCAGGTGGATCCATTGTCGCCCTAAATATGGCTCCACTGGGCCAACAGAGGAACCTGGGATGGAGGGGGTCCTGACAGACCAGGGGGTCCAGTGACCAGGACAACAAACGTTGAATTCTGCATTTTTCAGGACTGAGAGAGAAGTAAGCATAAGACAGAAGCCAATCCTGCTTAGAGGGGATTTGACAATCCAGATGAACTTGACCTTTGTTTCCAACGGCCTCTTGGGGAGCTTGGAGAAAAAGGGACACAGCCAGCCCTGGGCAGGGGGTTTAAGAGGAATGATCCCCAGAAATGTTTATTGTTCTCACCAATGACTTCCAATGAATTAGGAAAAACACCTCCTATAAGACTGGACATTTTCCATCTGGAGCAGGAGAGGCGAAAATGTCTCCCATGAGTTTTCAAAACCTACAGCCATCCTCAAACATTCTCAGTTTTGCATTTCAAATTCACACGACCTGGTGATCCCTGAAACCTCAAGCCAAGACTGCAGTTGATCATGATCTGGACTTTGTAAAACATCCAGGCATTTGAAGAAGCCACTGAGAGACCTACCTTGAAACCAGGCCTCAGAAAGTTCCCACAACTGAAATCCCATTAAACGTGAGCTCACAAGCAAAAGATTTCAGACACTTGCTTGTTCCCCGTGGTCCAGAAGGATGCTGGACCAGCCCAGAAGTAGCATTAGGAGTGTTAAGGAATGGGCAGGAGGAGGACATGGCAACCCACTCCAGTGTCCTTGCCTGGGAATTCCCATGGACAGAGGAGCCTGGCGGACTACAGTCCATGGGGTCGCAAAGAGCTGGACAAGACTTAGCTACTAAACAACAACAGCAACAACAAGGAAAGGGTGAGTTCCGTATATACTCAGGAAGCACAGCTGACAAGTGCAGACAGTGCACGTGGGGTGAGAAAGACTGAAATCAGAGAAATTCTGAGCCCAAGCCTGAGCATCTGTAAGGATGGACTTGTCCTTTCTGAGTGGGGTCGGGGGGAGGCGACAGAAAGGAGAAGACTCAGGAGTGAAGGGCCTCTGAGCTGCCATGTTTGATGGTGTGTCTGCAGGCACCAGAGCGATGATGCGGGGAACACAGGCCACAGGTGGCGCTTGGGGTGGGCCCCCGGGTCCAAGGTGTGGTTTTTATCATATTCAGCAAATAGTACTACAGCCACAGGGCCAAATGAGGTCACTAAGAGAACGAATGTGCCTGGAGGAGAGATGGACCAGGCTGATCTGGGACAAGACAACTTTCAGGGACCAGAGAATGAACAGAAACCCTCGGGGAGTCTGAGGGCTCGGCAGTGCGGAGACCTTGTTGCCGCAACGAAGAGCGGGCTCCCTGGATTGCGGGAGGGAGGAGGCAGATTAGAGTGCGTGAGCGCTCAGTCACTCAGTCATGTCCGACTCTTTATGACCCCGTGGACTGCAGCCCACCAGGCTCCCCTGTCCAGGGGGTTCTCCAGGCAAGGATACTGGAATGGCTTGCCATGTCTTTCTCCGGGGGATCTTCCAGACCCAGGGATCAAACCTGAGTCTCTTAAGTCTCCTGTGTCAGCAGGCAGGTTCTTTACCTCCTGAGACACCTGCGAAGCCCAGGCAGATTAGAGTGGGCTCGAAAGAACACGGGAGAAAAGGAAGACTAAGACAAGACTCAAATAGTGTTTAGCAGAGCTTTGCTCAGGGTGAGAGTGGAGAGGAGAGGCAGCAGCTGAAGGCAATGTGGGGTAAATGGATTTTCTGGTTCGGGTGGGTGATGGGAGAGAGTGTTTGGCTGCGGATGGCGAGGATTCTATGAGACAAGAAAACAGTGATGCAGAACAGATGGGGCAGGGTGCTGTGGCCAAGCAGAGGAGAAGGGCTTTCCTGCACACGTGAGGGCTGACCTGGGATAGGAGCCAGGAGGTGTTACCCCAAACCTCAGGGAGAAGACGGTTATCTGCATGCAGATCCCCTTAAGTTGGGCTGTCATGTTGGGAGTGGAGAAGACCGAACTGATATCAGGATTCTAGATCCTAATCAAGATCCTAAAATAAGGAAAAGACAAGGAACAGTCCAGGGCAGCGGGAGGCCCTTGAAGTTCATGGTCATGACCTCGGGAAGTGAGTGTCAGGAGCTGGAGGTGCCCGAGAAACAAGCAGAGAACAGAACCCCCCCCCCCCCCCCAGATGGGAAGCCAGGTGGGAAGCAGTGTTTGTTTCAAACACTCCCAAGGTTACGTAAAGCAGCAGTCCCTAACCTTTTTGGCACCAGGAGCCAGTTTCACGGAAGACAATTTTCCATGGACTGGGGTGGGGGGATGGTTTTGGGATGAGTCCAGTGCACTACCTTTTCTGTGCACTGTATTTCTATTATTATTATTACACCAGCTCCACCTCAGATCATCAGGCATTAGATCCAGAGGTTAGTGATCCCTGAGGTAAGGGACAGAGGAGACCAGAGCCATGTAGGAGGCTGCTCAGAGCTGAACACAGCCGAGACTTGAAAGAAGGACAAAAACCTCTCAGCACAGGCACACCAGTCCCCACGAAGAGAAGTCAAGTAATAAGACGTAAAGATATTTCAAGATGCAACTTACACTTCCCAGAAACCAGACAAATCCTGATTCTATGTCTGAAATGTTGCACCAGAGCTAGCCGAGCAGTGACATATCATAAAAGGTTGACAAAGAGCAGTCAAAAGACCAAAGCACAACCTAACGTAGGAATTCCTATCATTATCACACACCCACGGGTTAAGAAAAATGAATATAAGCTCCCGTATTTAAAGGAAAAGATGACACCATGGACACACACCTGAAACAGTGATTCGGAAATACTGCAAGTAAAAAGATGGGGGAAATACCAGGAAAATCTGTGCATGTGTGGTCAGCTGCTCAGGCATGTCCAGCTCTTCGTGACCCCATGGACTGTAGCCCGCCAGGTGCCTCTGTCCATGAGATTCTCCAGGCAAGAATGCTGGAGTGGGATGCCATTTCCTACTCCAGGGGATCTTCTGACCCAGGGATCAAACCCATGTCTCTCGCATTTCCTGCATTGGCAGGCTGATTCTTTACTCACTCAGCCACCTGGGAAGCCCACTGGGCAGCTCATGTTAAAAAAAGAAAAAGAGAAAAATAAGAAAGAAAACTTGCAAAAATTACCAGGACTATTCCGCAGAAGAGGAAGGGGTGGGAACTCATCTTTTTAAATGCTAACACTCCCCGTGAAGCTGCAACTATTAAAACTGTCCTATATTGGAACACGAACAGATAAACAGATCGATGTAACAACAGGAAGTCCACCAGCAGAACCAAACACGTAAAGAATTTGGTGAAGAGCAAACGCAGAATTTCAAATCAGTCCAAGGAAAGATGGTGGATCTCCAGCGCTGGGGCAGCTGGGTTACCATCTGGAAGAAAAAGGAAGTGAGAGCCCTGCTCGCTCCTGACAAGGTTCTAAAAGGTAGAAGCGTTACACCTAAAACTCAAACCATAAAAATATGATAAGGAAACTTTGGGTAAATTTCAATCTTAAGTGTCTGGGAGGCCCCTCTAACTATGACACAAAGTTCAGAGGCCATAAAAACTGGTGGCTCAGATGGTAAAGAATCTGCCTGCCACACAGGAGACCTGGGTTTGATCCCTCGGCTGGGAAGATCCCCTGGAGAAGGGAAAGGCTGCCCACTCCAGTATTCTTGCCTGGAGAATTCCAGGGACAGAGGAACCTGGTGGGCTGCAGTCCAAGGGGAAAAATTGGGCTTCCAAGGTGGTGCAGTGATAAAGAACCTGCCTGCCAATGCAGGAGACACAAGTAACCTGGATTTGATCTCTGGGTCGAGAAGATCCCCTGGAGAAGGAAATGGCAACCCACTCCAGTATTCTTGCCTGGAAAATTCCATGGACAGAAGAGGATGGCAGGCGACAGTCCGTGGGGTCACAGAGCCGGACACGACTGAGCACAGCACAGCATTAAACTGAGAAACCATAATCAACAAGCAAAAGAGAAAAGAGCTTTGGAAGAAAAACCTATAAATACAGTCAAAAGACAATACAGTCAAAAGACAGTCAAAATACAGTCAAAAGACAAACTAGGAAAACAAATTTTTGTGGAAGATATCATAGAAAAAGAGATAATTTTTGATCTACAAAGCTTTTTCAAAAGGAAAAAAGCAATAAAAGCTAATAACACAATAGAAAAAATGGCCCATTTTTATAAACATGTAGGAAAAGAAATCCAAATAGCTCTTGTGCATGGAACAAAAAACCTGGTATCACTCAAAGGAAGGGAAATGTGAACCAAGACTATAATGATATAATTTTAAACTCCTGTCAGTTGGGCAAAGATCCAAACACCTGATCACATTTGGGTGGTAGGTGGTGGGGGGCAGTGGGTTCTTCTGTGACCACCATCACAGTCACAGAAGAAATAAACAAAGAATCCAGGGGAGAAACCATGGTAATGCCTATAAAAATTAAATTCTCTTACACATTTCACCTGGCAATTCCACTTCTAGGAAGTTATTCTTCACACGAGAAAGGTATATATACAATATCCTCATATAATTCAATACCCTCATACAATACAATATCCTCAATTCAGCATCAATTTTAAATGCAGAAGATTGAGAAGAGCATAGGATACAGGTTCAGAAAATGGTGCGTGAAATACCGGGTGGATGTTTAGATAAATGAGACAACTTTAGATGCCGTACATGAAACAAAGTTCCAGTGTAACTGTTAATTAATCGTTGATGCTACCATCTCAGAAAATCTGCAGGACATGTTGGTAGAGAAGTATGAATATAAATAC